CACTGGTGTCTAGTCCTCCATACCAGACGTTCCATAAATGAATTGCATTTTGGTTGATGGCCTTCACTGGCATGTGGTATGGACCACTATATTGTTGACTCGATAGAGAAATTATATTATGTCCTTTTCTATGTTAGGAATATTATATAAGGCATGTTGACGGGTCCCCCGTTAGTTCTGAGGCGGAGAGACAACGTGTAATCCATTGCTTGGAGGCAGCAATCAAGAGACGAACATCTGAGGTACTGATCTGAAGATGGTTCACATTTAGTTTCGCTACCCACTTCAATTTCAAGTATATGACATTTGAGTGCATAATGCAGGGAATAAGGCTAGAACTATGTGGTGAAGACAGGGCGGGTCTTCTGTCAGATGTAACTCGCTTATTTAGAGAGAATGGTCTTTCAGTTACTAAAGCCAAGGTCACAACCCGGGGTTCTCAGGCTGTAAATGTTTTCTATGTTGCTGATGCATCTGGTTGCCCAGTTAAAAGTGAAACAATTGAAGCAGTTCGTAATGAAATAGGCCTAACTATACTCCGTGTGAAGGATGATACGTACACAATTGCACAAACTCCACAGACCGGAAAACCGTCTTTTGGTGATATCTTCCGCTCAAGGTCAGAGAAATTCCTCTACAATTTAGGCCTAATAAAGTCATGTTCTTGAGCATTTTATTAGTCGGTTGCACAACTCAATCTGTAGATAATAGTATGGTTTTAATCATAAACTTAAAATATTTTCGAGATTTAGTCAAGCCCAATTGATCTTAAAAACTCGGTTAATGCCAAAACCTATATATCTTTCTACCTTGTAAATGTTTGTCCAAACTGTATGTTGACTATGCTACATCCTTCGCGTTTAGGAGTTGTTGTAAATTTATAAATCATTGCCCTTGCATTGTGATATCTCTTTGTTCAATTCTTTTTCTAGTTCACGATGGTTTGTTACATAGTACTGTACATGATTGAACATAACACAACTAAAAAGGGAAAAGTAGTCCAAATCTTGTTTATTGTACTGTATAATCATATCCAATACTGTGTAAATAGTTGAAAGAAATGGAATTGCATAAGATTTCCAATGACATTCCTAGGATGCTGGAAATTGACAGCATAGACAGGCAATTCAAGCTGTCTGAATCATGGACCACTCTGAGTGACAAAGGCATAGAATTCTTAGTATGTTAAGATTCAAATACATTATGATTTGGTCACCACCAAATATTCATGGAATTTGATTCCAAATTGTGTTGGAAATACATAGCTTTCTACATCAATTAAAGAGAGAGAGGAACCATTCTATCCGTATCAACAGTGTTCGAATTTGCTAGGTTCGCGACTGATTGATACGCGTACTAACCTATTAATTATGTCCCCGGTGACGATTAGGGGTAGCTTAATCAGTCGTCCTTCAAATAATTAACCGATATATTTTTGTTATATCGAATACAAATTAATAAGGTTTTCATTTCAACCCCTTCTAATCTAATATTCTATCTACCTTTCTTCTGAATCAGCATATAGTCATGGAATTTGTACTAAACTGGGGAATACATGAAAAGATAAATAAGATAGTAATAATTTAAGGGTACAAAAGAATGTTGGCAAGCATCACTCGAAAGATCACATAAAAGTAACAACCACCAAAATATTCGTGTAATTAAAAGGTTAAATTCATTGTTGTTGTTTACCTATTGAATTTTATATCATGTTAATCATTTTATTTAAAACCTCGAGTTATTAGAAATGAGATATAAGTATCCACTTCGATCCTGTTTTCAGGATTTCAACACTACCGAATTTGTAACGAAGTTTCATGTTAGTCACTCAATTTATATTGTTACAAGTACGTCACTTTCTCAACTAGAATGTCACGTCAGCTTCCCCCACTAGTCAAATTTAACACATAAAAGGAATAATAAAATCGTAATAAATATTCAACTTGGCAAATACAAATACTGATAACCCGATAATTAAGTCTTTTAAATCACTCGTTTTACAAAGATCTCAAGAGATATTTGATTGCGTGAATCATCAGGACTATAATTGATGTGGAGGGTTGTCAAATTTGACTTTAGTTCAATGTCATGAGTGAATCTCTTTGCGGCCAAATGGCCATTATTCTAATTTTGCTTTCATTCATATGATATGATTATTCTGCCATTTTGTGGTCAGAATTTACCTTAGTATATGCATCTTATCTCATAACTTTCAAATGGAATTTCCCTTTCATATACGACAATAATGCAAGCGTTTATCAAATCATCCAAGCGTATCTTGCTATTTTGGTTTAAGGATAGAATAAAATATGAGAGTACGTTTTCAATTTAAATTTAGCAAATTTGCTATGAGAAATCATAGCTTGTGAAACTCGATTGATTCGAGTTGCTTAATTAATAGGCCATGCTAATTCGTCAAAAGTCGTGCAATCAAATTGTTTAGTCATCGAATTGATAGAAACAATCTAACTATAAGAATTGCTTCTAGAAATCTCGAGCCCCACTTGTTTAAAAGGCACAAATTTAACGAGATGCGAAAAAAAAAATTCACGTGATAGAATCATCAATTATTAGGTCCAATACGAGTCCGGCCGCTGAACTTCAATTAAATTCCAATTATGCCATTAAATTTTAATTTGTCTCAATTAACTCATTCAAATAATAATAATAATCGAATGAAATGGAGAAATTACATAATTTTAGCAGCAAAAACTAGGAATTAAATAGAACATGTTTAGCCTAAATTTGTTTTCAGATAAAAATAAAACAATTATTTTACTAACGAATGAGTAATTATCTTATTTTAAATTTGATGGTTATAAGGGAACTTAAAGCATTTTAAGCTCAGCCAAACACGGTCTTTCCAAACATTCATGAACTACAACAAAAATACAGAGATGATGATTGCTTAATCAGCAGCCATAATTATCAGTAGTATGATTACGATCTTAACACAATAATTGTGCCGTGACACGAAAAGTCCACCACCAAACAAAACTCCACGACACACGGCGGCAAGTGGCGGTGGGCCACCGTGCTACGCCACCGCATTAGCAGCTATTCGACTGTGACGTATCACCCCAGGTGTCTCTTTCAGAATTGTGTGCGAATCAGTCGGCAGTGCAAGTGGGCTTACTCTATTCACTCGAGTGGGCCCACATTGGGCTGAGCTTTTTCTTGGCCCACCATGTGGTCATGTGACCAGGATTTTGCAAAATCTTCCTCAAAGTACGTGAAAAAATTCCGACCAAAGACCTGATAGTCTTATCAATTATCATCAAATCAAATCAATACAATTAAATCTTAATTATAATTTTTTGCTTATAACGTGTAAATGTCTTAGTAGACGTGTCGTGCTGTCTGATATGACTATTTGAAATGAATTTCCAAATTCTCATTGTCAATGTTTTGTGTAATTATTCTTAACCTACACATTCAATGAGTGCCAGTTTTTAATGGAGGAAATTAGACTTATATATCCTAAATGTAAGGTCCTTCTAAAAAATCATATGAAAAGTATTAATTTTTGTAGAAAAACAAGTCGTTAGTGGATGAAACCAATTGTATAAGTTTTATTCAAATGCAATATCCGACTATTGAAATTAATAACCACAAGACAAACGATTTCAATTTATAAAAAAAGATTCCGTTTCAGAATTTTCCAATGGCTGAAAAAAATGTTTAGCAACATAAAATCAGAAATATAAGTTAACTGCAGGCTAAAACTGTAAACGATGAATCTGAAAGTTGCACACTATGGAACTACAAACTGCATGAATTAAATAGTAATGCGAAAATAATCTGTAGAAATAAATGGAGACTGATGCGAAAAAAAATCTGCAGAAATAAATGGAAACTGAAACTGTAAGGATAAACTGAATTTGTAAAGAAACTACACGAACTGCAACGAAATAAATCTGCAAAAAGAAAACACAAACTGCAGCAGATTTCAAACCGAGGCCTGTGCGTGCACAGTTTCCTTAAGACAGTTTCGCCCCCTCGCCGTAGGTGCTGGAGGTTCAATTCGAGTGGCTGTCTCTCAGGATACAACTGTAATAAGCAGAATCCGAGCACCGCGGTCCTACTCTGGTAAACTGCACGTGACTGGAAGGGAATAGAGACTACACTGTATGGAAACTAGAACTGAGAAAAAAGACACTGCGTGGAAAACTGGGAAGAATATTTTCGTATGCAGAGAGATTTTCGTTTGTGTGTTGAATTGTTGGAGTGAGCGTCCCTTATATAGATTGAGTCCTGTCTATTGGAGTCATTGGAGTTACAAAAAAAATGGCAAACATGTCTCTGATGGGGTCATTTTTGCCTTGTTCGGTCTGACATTCGTGTGTGCAAGTCACGCCCGCACCCAAGTTCAAGGTCTGACGGCCATTTCGGTTCGTGATTTGAACCTCCTGCGCACGCACATGGAGAGAGGCTCTATGCTACACATGATTACACATCTCCAAAGCATATCCATATATAAAGTGGTTTAAGTTTCCTTGGTTTTCCTATGTAGGATAAATGCATTTTTTCCCACAAAATCAACTTCCAATGACCAATTTTGAGTTCTAATTTCTCATTCACCCGAATTTCATTTTTGACAAATAAATACATGAAATCGATGTTCTCGCGGAGGAGAACACATATCAACTTTGATATTCCACATTGGACCAACAGGTCTCATCGAAAATTGTGCCAAAAGTGAGCCGCTCACTCAATTTTTTCCAACAATTTTAGCTTCCAACAAACTAAACCTTAATTATTTCCTGTGTCTCCTCTTTTTGCTAGAGTAATACACACCATGGGGGGTGCTCCTCATGGGGTGGCTAAGTTGGTGGAGTATGTGAGCTCGGAGGTCTTTGATCACGAGTTCGATTCCTCCTACTAACACTTTTTCGGTCGAGTCTGTCGTACAGAGCTTACCTAGTACGATTTACCTGGTTCGCGTGATTTGTAGGCTATTGCGTCAGTTCGATATTTTACCCAGTGTGCACCCGAAGGGTAGTGGCTGGGGATTCCCCCATTATTAAAAAAAAAAATTAAAAAAAATACAAACCATGGGGGACAGTGGTTTACTGAGGTAGAGGAAAATGGGGGCAATGGTCGTTAATTTTCAGCTTCGTGGCACGAGGATGGTAATTCTTGCAGAGTTTACGTGGAATATCAACACAACAAATGCAGCGGTAGAAACTCCAACAAGACAAGGAATACAAATTGGAGATGATGAATTCTGCCGAATGTTTTCCAAGGGAGGTAGAGCGCACTTGGGGAATGCGGGAAAAACTGCAGTTAGATCTAAACAAGTCTTAACAAAAGATACCGAACTTAGAGAGGCATCAAACTTACCACTGATGTATTGTGTTCTCAGAATGTGGCACGGTGGGTTTTCATCATTTGTGAAGGACACAGCAGTGCAATTTTTGTCTTGATTGCACATATTCTGACATCTTTGTAGACTTGTTTGTACAACCGTTTCATTCACTGGGTAAATTCTACACAACAATGTTCAAAGATACACCTAATTCGCAACTTTGTTGATATGAAACCAAACATTTCGAGTTAGATTCACCGTTCACTGTAAATGGACATCTGCATGCTGGAGAACCAGATTCATTGAGAGCACAAATACCACAGAGGCCACGTGTTGTGAAAATGTCACATTGATTATCAAATGCTTGCCAAACTGACCTCCATGATTTTAAATGGTGTTTTGTCGGTGAACTGACTTAAAGATAATTGATACGGAATGAGAAAAGAGGAAAGACGGTGGTTGAGTTGCTTTTTTCCGTCACTTTATTAAATTGATTCTAATATTATAATTGTTATTTTGCCACTTTTTTGAGTGTCAATTTTTTTTAATTTTTGTCGCTTTTTCGAGTTTGTCCCTTTTTGAGCGTTTGTCGTCTTTTTTTTTTTTTTGTCACTTTTTTAGTCTGTGCACCTTTTTTTTATTTGTTACTTTTTTGAATTCATCGCTTTTTTAAATTTCTGCCACATTTTTGACTTTTTGTCACTTTTTTTTTTATTTTTTTAAATGTTTGACACTTTTTTCAGATACCTTTTTAATTTCTATTACTTTTCTTAGTGACAAACATAACTTTTTAATAAAAGTGACATTGTATGTCATTTGTGTCAACATTTTTTTTTTAAATAGATGACACAATTTTTATAAAGTAACATTGTGTCACTTTCTTATATTACACAGTATTTTTTACTTTCAAAAAATTGTTCATGTGATTTTTCAAAAGACCCCTCATTTTAAAGATATTTTTGTAAGTTGCCCTTTTTAATTTGTGTAATAAACTCTTTGAACATGACTAGAATTGACTAGTTTCGACTTGTGATTGGATCTTGCCCGATTCCTTTCAAGCTTTAAAAAAAGATTTGTAATATATTTATGTAAATTGAATAAAACTTCATATATATTCAAGATTCTGATGGTTTTATTAAGAGAACAAAAACATATTTTCACCCATTTAGTGCTGTTTGTGTAAATTTCAGAATTAACTAAGCCCGTACCACATAAAGCCTAATAGATGACAGAAACCCAGCTAGACTCAATCAACTTCAAGCCCAGTTGGCCCATAAATCAAGTCAAAACTTGTCGTGGGCCAAGCCCATACCCAAGGCATCCGGGGCATCTTTGGAAACACCAGTTTCAACAATTGATAGAACTTAATTTTGATCAGGGTGATCTCATTAAGATTTTAAAAGTCCTTGTAAATTTAGACGTTCTCAATTGAAATTTTAGTATATCTAATTAAAATTTAAATGTCCTCGAGTGAGTTTGTAACGAATTTCATTAAGATTTAAAAAATTCTGAGATGTCCCCAATTACTCGTGGATTTAAAGAATTTCATTAATAATTTCAAGTGATTTGGCGGATTTCAAACCTAAAAATAAACATAATAAACTCTTTTTGAAATTTCACAATTTTTAATTATTTCATCATGAATTAAGTGAAAATCAATTCAAATTCACGAAAATTTATATAAATTTATAATCTTTTAAAATCCATCAAATTCAGTTGAACACACGGTGTTAAATCACTAATCCAATCAGTATACTTAAAAACATTTATTGAAGAAGTAAAGTACAGAAGTGGCACTGAGCAGTTTCAATTTACTAACCATGCAGCAACCTGTCATTAGCATCATTATCTTCATGTAACAAACATCAATGAGAAGTGTACTGGCATTACCATGTACCTCACCTCAAATTGTACTCAGATTGAATATATCATAAAGTACAGCGAAATAATCATAGCTTCCACTTTTCGCGCTTACTCGTCTTAGAATACAAAAAAGTTACAGCTCAGAATCGGACATTGTTCCCGAACAGCCCTCTATAGCAGGGAAGAGCGCGAAACTTGAAGGGAAAATGAAAATTGGAGATTTTGAAATACTTGAACCATAAATTTCCACCTCAAACCATTGGAAGCTCACCACAGTCATTTATGACAACCCTTTTTACGGGACGATCACCTCTGTCAGTCTCTTGCGACTCAATCAGCTTTACAATGTCCATACCCTCCAAAACTTGTCCAAAAACGACGTGTCTCTGATCAAGCCATGGTGTCTGTAATTCATCAAGCATAAATACTTGTAAATTTCAAAGCAATTCAATCGTTCGATGTAGGAAGCTATAGCTGATAGAAACGAGCAATCAAGCCGTCTATCACCCAGAACTAGGCCAGGAATCCATCCCAAGCACTGTTTGCGTGCTTTGGGGCCAACCCCCTTATGCAATAAGCCCCAGGGGGTGTTTAGTGATGCTCCGCATCAACTATTTATTAGAGGATATGTTTAACAATTACCCTGTCAAGTGACTTCCATATGGAGGAATGTTAAAAAGCATAATACCACCATTAACATAATAAGCCCCCGTTTGATGGCCATTATTTGGGAAAAACAATACTTTGAATAGTGATTTGCTGGAAAATATGTAATTAAAAAGTAGGAAAAAGTTTTGAATTTACGTGCAGAATATTTTATTTAGTGAAATGTGTAGTTGAAAGCGAGTATATAGAAAAAGTTTTCAAATAATGGTTGTCAAACAGGGGCTAAATATCATTATGTGCTCCAAAAATGCATCCCAACTTCATTGGACAATATGACAATAGTCCCACTGCCGCATTGACAAAAGCTTAAACAAACATGTAGCTTAGAGAGAAAGAGAGAGAGAGAAGGTTAAGGACACAGGTCTACATAATGTATTATAGAGTTTGATCGTTTCTCAATCTGAAAAATAAACGCTGAAAATTCATTGATGTTTGGAAAGATGAAATGTTTAACTGCATAATGTAAAATCTAAAATGTTTATATACACTTCTATATACCTTGACAGTGCAAATGAAAAATTGGCTTCCATTGGTATTGGGGCCAGCATTTGCCATGCTAACAATTCCAGGTCCAGTATGAGTCACTGCACATAGTACAGGATTACCCGTTAAATTTCAGTAGCTACAAGTTCTTAGTATCAATAATAACTAAATGAGGAGGGCAAACTTACGCTTGAAGTTTTCATCTTTGAATGTACGACCATAAATGCTTTTACCGCCCGTTCCCTGCCAAACAGAAATCCGAATAGCAAAACATCAGTTGTTATGTATGATGGAAACATATAAATTTCTTCCGAACAATAGAAAATATACATTATGAATATACTATAGTGAAAAATCTTCAAGCAATATTTCAGCCACATGTCATGACAATCAAATCAAAGGAACAAACATCAGTAGCACAAGTATCAACAAAATATCTATATCTAATAGCAACTATATATCTGAAAACAACAGTAACTTAAGGCGTTTCTTGCTATAAAAAAATTTAAAAAGTAGTGTCGTCGTTACCTTTTAATGTGGAGCTATTAGGAATGAATTAGAAAAATGAAATACCATGGGTAATGCTGACACCATGGCATACAACCTTTGTTGGAGCTTAAAGTTACGTGGTATCCATATGTGCCATAATAAATCTTTCTCATAGATTTTTCCATTTAATATCCTGAAACGCCTCAAAATATGATAAATGATCCTCAACCCAGAACCAAATTGGAGAACTTTCTTTAGTGATGTCCATCCAAATGTAATAACCAAAAAAAGTGCATAGAATAGAAACGAGAAAACCAACAGAGAAGAATTCATAACAGCAGTACATGGAGTAAACACAGACGTAAGCAAATAGACTAAATTAATGGTTATAGACTAGAATCAATAATTGGAAGGCAGGAATGATGATCAGGTTATCACATTCTAGGTGGTGAGTATATATAACTTTGTAATCTTTCTGGAAAAGGTACCAACAGCTAAAGTTTCACACTTTAGTTCATTGTATAAAATGCTTTGCTTGAAAGATTTGTAGTTTCGTTGGACAAAATAGCAACATCTGTGGCATCTTATACGGTGACAGTAACTACCGGTTGGCAGAAAGTGCAGTCAGAAACTGAAGGCAATATCCAAATATGAGGTTGATGGTGAACCTTGGAAAGAAAATTGTGCATCGATCACATCCTTGCTCTTATGGTTAAGCATTGTTCTAGTGCAGTTTTATTCTCCATTATGCATTTTAACTTCACTCAGTAACTTATTCACTTTTCGTTGCTGGCAGACTGAAACATGATCAAACATCCAACAATTTCCTTGAAGTGTCTTTTCCTCATAGGAGTCCAGTGGGTACGTTCTTCCTTCTTATGAAATAGGGAGATCACACATGAAGACTTCATTATATCGACATCATAGACTACTAGTATTTCCATCGTCCAATCTCCAACAAATTAGAATGGAACATCGAAACGACACGAACACTTGATAGAGGCTCCAGGATGTGTTTGTCTCTCTTCAAACCCCAAATCTAATTGAGACAAGTTCCAAGATTTTCTTAAGTCAACAAAAAGGTGCAAAATTATATACAACAAACATTTAAACAAGATTTTACACCATCCCTGAGGCTCACCTTCTCTTTCTTTCTCGATTTGGAGGGTTTGGAGGACATAAAGTTCTAAAACAACTAAATTAAAAAAAATATATATATATATAATCAATCGAAACAGACTAACAGAGTCCATAGAAAAAAAAAAAAAAAAAAATTCAATTGAAATAGAGTCCGTGGAATGACAACCTACATTTCCTTTGTCAAAGTCTCCTCCTTGAATCATAAAATCCTTTATAACGCGATGGAAGCTAGAGCCCTTGTAGCCAAAGCCCTTTTCTCCTGTTTAAGAAACGCATTTACAGGAAGATACATTCAAAACAGCACTCAACAAAATTACACGAGTTAGGAAAAAAAAAAAAAAAAAAAAAAAAAAAAAAACATTAAAAAACACCAATAAAAAAAAATTAAA